CGCGGCGGGGCACAAACTTCGCTCCTGGATGGAGAAAAAGGTGGTGGTAGCGGCGGAAGTAGCAGCACGGAGCGACAACCGCAGCCGCCTTTCGCTTCCCTCCCTGCAGGGGCCATCCTCTCTGGGTCCCCAAGCCGTCTTGTTTGGCTCTCGCCAGCGACTCGCAGGGGGCATCTCTTGGGCGAGGGAAAAAGGAATCGGTGCTCCAGCGGCTCGGAAGATCGTAGACCACTTAACAGCGGCGCCCAGGAACCTCAACCGAAAGCCCGCCAGTTTCATTGCAGAAGTTGTGTGGTGTCCTCCGGAAGTAATTAATATCACTTCCCGAGTCGATTCAGGGTTACCGTGGAAACCCAGGATGCTTTCTCTCAATGTTATAGAGAGAATTGCTAGAGCGGTGCCGTTAATACTCCAGCGTTTCCCAGTCTGAGAAACTTTTAAGTGTGTAGACTTCAGCTCCCGGCCAGCATGCTGATTTTTAGTCCATACAGTTTAAAGTTGCTGAGATTGATAAACGTGTAGATTTCCAGAATAGATAATCACTAATACATTTCTAACATTTTCAAAACCACGAAGAAGGATTCGAGGAAGGCAAAGGAAGAGGGATTGTAAAGGAAAATAATATAGCTATGGAGCATCTCCATAGCTCCATCATTATTCAAATACATAGAAAAGTGTTTTGGCTCTACATACCACCAGACACTCAGATATTCTGTGTATGTGTGTGTACACACCAGTTACAACTCCATAATTTCCAATAAATGCACTACAATTCCCATTATCCTCCCTTAAGGCATGATGACAGTTGCCATCCAATATATCTCAGAAGCACCAAATGGAAAGATTGTAATATATTTTTTACATGCAGTGACATGGCTTTTTCTTTTTTCTTACATATTCAGTTTACAATAGTTGAAAGAAAAATCTTCATCAGGGTCCAGTCCAAGCCAGGAATAAACAAAATGGAGACTGCTTTAGAAAGAAGGTTGTGGTTTATTAAAGAGCAGAGCCAGACAGCAATGTGACTCTGAGAAAGCTGACCACATGGAGCAGGGAGTGGTGGGTTTTTATACCTTCTTGGGCTTTTGTGTTTGGAGTTGTTCCTGTGGAATGAATTTTGACCTGAGATTCAATGTGCCTTTCTGGTATTCTGATGGCGTTGGGTTAATCCTATTATGTCCTAAAGGTCATATCTTGCTTCCCTGGGTGGCTGATGGCTATGTCCTGTGTTGAGTTTTTTTGGGTGAGGGATTGTTAGTTCTAGGGAGCTTTATCTTTCTAATCCCATCAGCTCTAAGATTCCTGGCTCCAGTCTTTCTGACAGGATTATGATATCTGCATTGCTACAGCTGGTTTCTGCTTGGGGGCGGAAGACTTGGGGCTATTAAGAAAAACTGGGCATGCTTTTCTGCCTTTTAAAGATCTTTTAAGGAAATATTTCTGCCTTTTTAATATTTCCTTCTCTGGGGGGTTGACTTCCCACAGAATTATTAATAGTGAACTAGTGAACAGTTTGGGGAAGGTTATTCCAATTAATATATTATCTCATCATTTTAGCCATTGTCTATCCACTGCAGGATGAAGGCCTCTTCTGCATGTTTCCAATCTATATGGTCCTGAGCTTACTTTTGCCAATTGGGCCCGCAATGCTGATGTCATCAATCCATCTTGTTTTAAGTCTCTTTTGTGGACGCTTTAGTAGATCTTGTCCTCCTCTTCCTCCTTCTTCTTCCTCTTTGGGTGTTTAAGGAGAGATAAACTCTGGTTCTTGTTCTTCTGGCAGTCCCAACCATTGCTAACTGATTTTGTTGTAGCTTGTCTTTGATATTGCCTCTCCATTTTCTGCCTTTTGTTCTTTGATATGCCTTGAACAGTATGGAATCTCATGACAGCCTTTCCAAGTGAGCACCGTTTTATTTGCTGTTTTTGTATGTAATTTAAGATAGGTTCTATGCCAGGTCTTCCTCTTATTATCTCATTTCTGATTTTATCTCTTCTGGACACTCCAGGAGCTTTCCTCAAACATTTCATTTCATAAATGCATGTAGAAAATAATATATTAATATATTATCCCTCCTACAGAGGTCTGATCTGGAGTCCTATCTTTCTTTCCCTGAGTGGCTTCAGACCAATTTTTTTTTTAGATTACATTTACTGTAACCTATAACCAAAGTTATGGCAAACATAAATGGGTTACTCCAAAAAAATGTATTATATAAATAATATGAGAAAGCAGAGTATCACCCAGCATTATAGGTCTTTTCCAAAAAATCAGAACAAATATATGGTTGTTTTACAATTATATATTATTATTAGCCTGAATTAATCCATTGCAGAATAAAGCCCTTTGTTGAAGGTTACGGAAGGTAATCTACTATGTTTGTACACTGCAGGCTGATAAGATTTTTTTCAACTTCCCAGTCAAAGAGAACAAATAGCCCAAAGTGACCCAAAGCAGCTTCCATGCCCAAGGGAGAACTAGAACTCCTAGCCTCCAAGCTTCAAGTCAAGCACCTTTATCCACTACACCAAGCAAGTTATTAAATTCTTCAACAAAACAGGTAGTTCTCAACTTACAACCACAATGGAGCCCAATATTTCTGTTGCTAAGTGAGACAGTTAAGTGAGCGTTGACCTCGTTTTGCAATCTTTCTTGCCATAGTTATTAAGTGAATCACTGCAGTTGTTAAAATTAGTAACATGATTGCTAAGTGAATCTGGCTTCCCCATTATTTTGCTCGTCAGGTTGCAAAAGGAGATCACATGACTCCAGGATATTGCAACCATCATAAATGCATACCTGTTGTCAAGGCCTAAATTTTGATCATGTGACCATGGGAATGCTGCAATGGTCGTTAAGTGTGAAAAATGATCATAAGTCACTTTTTCAGTGCCGTTGTAACTTTGAAGGGTCACTAAATTAATGGTCGTAAGTTGAGAACTACCTGTAACTCTAGTCAGCTTATATAATACAGCTAACAAAATACAAAAATGACAAACATAACCATTATATAGTTGATGCATGTCAGGGATATAGGTAATACAGACCTAGTGCCAGCACAGTAAACAGAGAAACTTTATTGTACCAAAAAACATTATTGTACATAGATTACTCTATTTTAGACATGGTTCCCACCAGATCTATTGAACCTGTAAGTCAGAACACACAGAAAACAAACTGACATGGCATTCTGGAAGGTTACATGTGGAAACCCCCAGTTTGAGAAGCCTGCTTTAGCTCATTGTGATGAAAACAAACTGACTAGGGCTGCTGATGTGATAAGATTCCTTCATGTCTTGTGTCCTTTGGGAAGAAGAGAGAAGACAAGATTCTCTATGCTTTGTTAAAACAACACCAAGGCTGTGAAAGGGTGCACTGACCCAGAAGAAGGCATGATGTCATCAATCCCACCTCCCCTTCCTTCATGACTCCATTCCTTTGTGAAGGCAAAGGTCATCGTTGCCATCATAGAGGGAGCACATGTGGGCAGATGCCTCAGCTCAGATAGCCAGGAGCAGGATAAGTAGGGTTATGTTGAAGGAGAGGAGGATAACGTGGATATTCTGGGACACAGTGAGTAGGCTGCTTTTTGCAGTCTGTCCACTCCTACAGATAGCAAAAATCTGTCTGCAGCTTTGGAAGGCTGCTATCAGTTTGACAGGAGGTAATTGGACAGTAGTGTCTTCCTATGTTCCTAGTGAATTCTCACTGAATGTTATCATGTCTTAATACTTTGAATACAGATCTATGAAAAATCCTTTCTCAAAGTCTTGTTTTCAGTTTTGACATTATGGTCACAACAACAGTGAATTTTAGTAATGATTTTGAGATTATAAAGCCCAGAACAAAATGCCATCTGTTTCATTCTTGTGTAGGATTGTCATTCTCTGACAGAGAGGCAAGGCAGAAATTAACAGATATTGATGTCCTCTCTATTATTTTCTCTCTCTCGTGCTGAATGTGAGTACATTATGCAATAATGAAAGCATAAAAATTAAAACATAAATAATAAAAATATTATAGTGTGCTACAGCAATTAAGGTATTGGATTGGAAAAGGAAAAACTCAATCTAGGTTCAGATATGGGAGCTCACTGAGTAACCTAAGACCAATTCCTCTCTTGACCAAACTTCACAAGTTGCAATTGTGGGGAAAAAAATAGAAGAAAGTAATGTATAAACAGGTCACTTTGAGTTCCTGAATGGAAAATGAGAAAAATATAATAAATTAATAAATAAGTGGTTACTAGAATGAAAATGATAGTATCCATTATGTTGTTCTGATATTTGTCACTTCAATAAATAATTCCATTATCATGTGAGCATACTAAAGACAGAAGCAAAACTATATCTTACATTAGCTCATATTTAATTGTTGCTGTTAACTGCTTAATTGTACTATTTATATAAGGTATATATTTTAACATATGCTTCCCTTTATTTTTTTCCTTGAGGGTGGATTATTATTTAGCCTAATATAATTATATTATTAAAATTTGTTACACCAGGGATAAAATATTATCAATGAAAACATATGCTACTATTCCTTTGCTCAATTAATATAATAAAAGATATTATAAATTATCAGACATATTAATAAATATACATATATTTTGTAGATATAATTATATCTGCATATATAAATAAAATAACATAATAATATAGATGTATATCATTGTTAATAGCGATTTAAACAATTCGCTAAGGTTATTAGCTATGCAGCAGTTAGCATGACCCGACCATGTGCTGTATTTAAAATAAATAAAGAGCGATACAACAGTTGCCGCCTTTTGCCCATTGGCGCGGCCTCTTCTGTGACGGAACGTTCTCCCATACGCATGCGCCCGCCTCTTCCACCGGGTGTTCGAGTTTTATGGGACACTGTTCCTGGGGTGGAAGCAAGCACTGCGCATGCGTACCTGGGTCTGAGCCGCCCCGCTATCTCTCGTCCTTCGCCCGACTACGTCCCTGTAAAAAAATCCTCTGCTGAGCCCGCAGACCGCCCGTGGGTGGAGCCTTTTGAATAAGATTTTAACGTTTAGTAGACGCACATGCGCAACGGGTCTTATTGTGACTCCTCCTCCTTTTTATCCTACTCCCTTTTTGTTTTTTACAAGTGGTCTCCTGGCTCCTCGTTTTGCGCATGCCTTTTGGCGTACCCAGTTGCTCCTACGCAAGCACGCGTAGACCGGGCAGAGCGGCTTTGCCCGTCGCTGGCGCAGTGTATTGTGGGAGTGATTAAGGAAGTAAAATGGCGGACCTGGCCAACGAAGGTAGGTGGCCAGGACCGGGTGGGGGATTGCGGTGGTAACAGTAATGGAAAAGAAGCGGCTAAGTTGAGTGAGAGGAAACGAGATGCTTTCGGCCGGGTGCATCCCATATCTTCAGTGGCCGTCTGGTGACTGCCCAGTTCACTAGAACTGGCATGCGGGCTACGGCCAGGCCGGACAAAGGGAGCGGCCTCCCGGTCCCCTAGGTGGCGAAGATGAGGATGTCTCTGAGCATAGGCAAAGGGCTTTTTCAAAAGTGCAGTCTCGAGCTGCTCCCCTCTCCATCCTTCATGCTCTTTCCCTAGGGCAAAAGTGCCTCTGAGCATTTGTAGAGTGCTGTGCTAAGAATGGGGAGATTCGCATCACCCAGAGTTCAACTCTGCTTGGCTTTTCCTCCTTTCTTTATATTATTGACATAAAAATTGTTTTGAATGTGCATGGAGACATGATAGAAGAGAGTGCATCTGCCTGGCAGAATTAACTAATCTATCGTGTTTATGTGAAAGAATTGCTTCCGAACTTGGGTTGAACAGTCAGCTTGTAAAGTTTCCCAGTTCTGTCCACTCTGCTTAATTGATATTGATATGTCTTAAGTTTCTCTAAGAAACGTCAGATGTGAGAGTCTACAGAAGTCATATCAACCAAGGAGATTTCAGGCAATCCATCACTAAGGGCTGAAGGACCAGAGTGTCATTGAGAAGGACCTATTGAGAGGGGACTTAATTCTGACTTTCCCTGTCACTTCTGTTATTGCCAAAGCTGAATTTTTAGGCTACTTCTAATAGTTTGAATATGGTAATTTATCTGGATGTATGTGGATAGATTGGTAGGAAACATTACTGACTGCTAGAAATGAAAAAAGCACTTCATTCATTGAGTGCTTAGCTGAGGTAAAATAGCCCCTTATGTGCAGTAATTTGCCCATAGTAGCTACATCTGAAAATCAATTATAAAGATATCCGAGGATTAACTAGCCCTGCATTTGTATTGATACTTGGGCAGCAAAAAGAGAAGAAAATAGTGTCGCAAATGTGTATGTGGAAATCTGCAGTATTTCCATTATGCTTGTTATAATAAACATGCGCAGGTGGTATATGACATTTAAAAATTGTTTTTTTAATCCAGTGAAGATATATGTATGTTTTAAAAAGTACCATAATGAAGCATCTCAACTGAGTCTTGCTTCAATACCAAACTTAACTGTTTTTCTGTCTGCTCTTTTTTATTGTTTAGCATATCTTAGACAATCTGAATAATAAAATATGAGTGCATCTTTATAAATATAGAACAGCAGAACAGCCTGTGATAAAAATGGAATATATTCCCTAAAATCTATAAAGTCATTATTACAATGAGAGAGCCTCAAAATTTATATGGAATACACTTTTCTCCTCACATCTCATGTAAGTGAACGGTTGTTTCCAGGCTACCACTAGTTCTATCTTTCTCCACTAATTTCTAGGACAAGCTCAAAGATAACTGTCTGAGATGTGTAGGAGTAAGTGCCTATCACCACAGCTTATCATGAAAGAAGAATGCCTTGGAATTTATGCAAATTGCTTATTTTGCATCTTGGACAAGGAGATAGATATAGACCTAGACCAATCAGAATCAGAAAGAATTTATGATGGAGGCAGCCATTCTCATGAACTCCTAGATGAAGTAATAGGTTAGAATGGCTAAGGCTGTGTAAAGTAGTAATAAAATAGAAGTGCCATAATAGTAGAGAAAACAGAAATAGCCCCATCAGGAAGATCGTGTTCCAGATCTAAATTAAAGAATCTGTAGGTGCTGATAATATCACATTTTATTTATTTTTTATTAAACCGTACAGCACATTCAAAAGCAGCAATTTATATAATTAGCTGCTTTTCCCTATGTGCCTTTTACCAGTGGTGGGATTCAGGCAGTTCGCACCACTTTTTTGTTGCCCAGGCCCAAAATGGACTTCCGGAAGTGGCATCCACACAGAGAACCGGTTGTTCACATATTTGAATTTCACCACTGCCTTTTACGCACCAGTGGATGCCATATCTATATAATTCAGGTAATCTTACAACCAGAAGCTTACAACCAGAATTGAGCCCAAAATTTCTGTTGCTAGGCAAAAGAGTTAAGTGAGTTGTGCCTCATTTTAGGACATTTTTGCCATAGTTGTTAAACAAATCACTGCAGTTGTTAAGTGAATCATGTGGTTGTTAAGTGAATCTGGCTTCTCCCATTGACTTTGCTTGTTGGAAGCTGGCTGGGAAGGTTACAAATGGGGATCACATGACCCTGGAACAGTGGAACTATCATAAATATGTGCCCAAAACTTTCATTGAAAAACACCAAAATTTTGATCACATGACTTTGGGGATGCTGTGACAGTCGTGTGAAACCTGGCATACAGTCACTTTTTTCAGTGCTGCTGTAACTTTGAATGGTCGTTGAATGATTGTAAGTCAAGGACTATCTATATTGTATAATCTTGAATAATCAAACTTTATCTGGCAAATTAGTGGTATAAACATCTAAGTATAATAAAATGTGCTTCAAGAAATCAGACAAAAGAGTTCTATCAGATCAATCCTAGAAGTTTGTCTAGTATAGCATCTTAGTTCCTTCAGTTTTTTTATCATTTTTATTAGTTTATCAAAAATAAAAAGTACAATATAAAATAAAATACAAAGACTATCAGTGAGTATCAAATTACATTTAGGAAACAATCACTTTCCTCTGATTTCAGCCTTTAATATTTAAAGGTAGGTTACATCTGAAATTGGAGGTTCTATAATTGGCTGTCATAGCATTGATAAATCTGTTAGTTTGTCCAAGTCTTTCATTATTATTTGCATTTACTTGTCATAGAATATTGTGCTTATTAGAACACAAGGAAAGTTTTGCCATATCCGTCCCACATCTGTTTCACATAACAGTTAATCTGATGCCTCTACAAAACCCACTAGTAAAGCAAGAAAATAGTTGCTCCCAAGTAATTGATATTCAGAGGTAGAATGCCTCTAAATGTCGTTGTTTCATAAACAACTGTACTTTATTATAACTGCCATGAATAAGTTTACTCTTTCATGAATTTACCTTGTCTCTTTTTAGAGCCGTTATTAATTGGGCTAATAAGTTATTGTTCCTTCTGAAATATTTGGTACTTCTGGAGAAACTTCTTTTATTTATTTCATTAGATTCATAACAGCTTTGATTGCTCTTGTATTCTGTAATACTGCTAAAAAAAGTCTGGGGGTACAATAGACTATAATTTTGAGGCCCTTCAAACATTTGTGACTCAATAAAACAAGTGCATTGGATACTAGTCTTATTTATAACCCAGTAGTCACATTTTGGATGTTTTCATCTACTCAAAGCATTAGACATTTTAAAATCTGAAATCACTCAGCTTCAAAGCCTTTAGAATGAAAAAGAAGAATAAATACTTTGTTTACTTGTTCCAACTATTCCTAAGATATTTTTCAAGGCCAAATCCTTAAGAAGTAAAATATATAAAATTAAATAAATTAGGCAGGATATATGTGAATATAGGAGGGCAGTTGCTTTACATTGCGTAGTTCACTTAAGAAAATGTATTGGTTGAAAAGATTTTAAGGCATTCTTTATTGCCGTTACTGATATATCTAAGGAAACTGTAAGAGAATTTGATAACAATGAGATGAGCATCTTGCTTATCAGCTGACCTGTCTTTAAGAGTATTTTTCATCCACACCTGAAGAGTGGTGGGAAAGATGGTGGTTGACTAAACAGCATTCACTTGTTAGAGTGAAAACTGCATGTGATATGTCTCAATATTAGGCAATATAAAATCTCTTTTATTTATCTCTTCACAGAAAAGCCAGCCATTGCACCTCCCGTCTTTGTATTTCAGAAAGATAAAGCACAGAAGGTAAGGAAGGCTAATGAAATATTTTTGCTTAGAGGTTGAGACAAGAGAGTGGTGATTTTTTTTTCAGGCTTAAATGGAATAAACTAAGGAGGTTTTTCAAGTCCTATTCCTAATGGGAATAACATGATGTTGATTGATCTACTGAGGATTTTCTTTTGCAATACTGAGAAAACCGGGTCATGTTCCAAAATATGTACTTTTAGTCAAGTCCAGAAATATTGGGACATCCACATAATTCGAACATCTTTGGCTCTATGCACCACCACAATTGAGTTGGAATGAAACAAACACAATGTGCTTTAACTGCAGCCTGTCAGCTTTAATTTGAGGGTATGTACATCCAACTCAGGTGAACGGGGTAGGACTTTCACAGTTTGCATATGTGCCTCCCACTTGTTAAGGGACCAAAGGTAATGGGACAGAATAATAATCATAAATCAAACTTTCCCTTCTTAATATTTGGTTGCAAATCCTTTGCAGTCAATCATAGCCTGATGTCTGGAACGCACAGACATCACCAGACGATGGATTTCATCCCTGGTGATGCTCTGCCAGGCCTCTACTGCAACTGTCTTCAGTTCCTGCTTGTTCTTGGGGCATTTTCCCTTCAGTTTTGTCTTCAGCAAGTGAAATGCATGCTCAATGGGATTCAGGTCAGGTGATTGACTTGGCCATTGCATAACATTTCACTTCTGTCCCTTCACAAATTCTTTGGTTGCTTTTGCAATATGCTTTGGGTCATTGTCCATCTGCACTGTGAAGCGCCGTCCAATGAGTTCTGCAGCATTTGGCTGAATGTGAGCAGATAATATTGCCCGAAACACTTCAGAATTCATCCTGCTGCTTTTGTCAGCAGTCACATCATCAATAAATACAAGAGAACCAGTTCCATTGCAGCCATACATGCCCATGCCATGACACTACCATCACCATGCTTCCCTGATGAGGTGGTATGCTTAAGATCATGAGCAGTTCCTTTCCTTCTCCATGCTCTTCTCTTCCCATCACTCTGGTACAAGTTGATCTTGGTCTCATCTGTCTATAGGATCTTGTTCCAGAACTCTGAAGGCTTTGTTAGATGTTGTTTGGCAAACTCTAATCTGGCCTTCCTGTTTTTGAGGCTCACCAATGGTTTACATCTTGTGGTGAACCCTCTGTATTCACTCTGGTAAAGTCTTCTCTTGATTGTTGACTTTGACACACATACACCTACCTCCTGGAGAGTGTTCTTGATCTGGCCAACTGTTGTGAAGGGTGTTTTCTTCACCAGGGAAAGAATTCTTTGGTCATCCACCACAGTTGTTTTCCGTGGTCTCCCAGGTGTTGCTGAGCTCACCGATGCGTTCCTTCTTTTTGAGAATGTTCCATACGGTTGTTTTGGCCACGCCTAATGTTCTTGCTATCTCTCTGATGGGTTTGTTTTGTTTCTTCAGCCTAATGATGGCTTGTTTCACTGATAGTGATAGCTCTTTGGATCTCATCTTGAGAGTTGACAGCAACAGATTCCAAATGCAAATAACACACTTGAAATGAACTCTGGGCCTTTTATCTGCACATTGTAATTGGGGTAATGAGGGAATATCACACACCTGGCCATGGAACAGCTGAGAAGCCAATTGTCCCATTACCTTTGGTCCCTTAACAAGTGGGAGGCACATATGCAAACTGCTGTAAGTCCTGCCCCGTTCACCTGAGTTGGATGTACATACCCTCAAATTAAAGCTGACAGTCTGCAGTTAAAGCACATTGTGTTTGTTTCATTCCAACTCCATTGTGGTGGTGTATAGAGCCAAAGATGTTCGAATTGTGTCTATGTCCCAATATTTCTGGACCTGACTGTAGTTCATGTAGTATATGCTTAGGCCTCTTATGTAGTGCCTGAACTTAAACAACATCTAGGGGTATCATGTATGATCTGGATAAAGCAGACTACCGCTAGACAGGAGCAAATGGATTTTAAAAACTCTCTTTGCTGCTGACATTTTTGCAGTCCAGATATGGTTTCTCTAATTCCAGCATCCCATATATGAGCATTAGAAATTGGGTGCATGGCTGACAGAAAAATCCATGAGAAATCTCCTGGTTAAAAAACACAGACAATAGAGAGATATGAGACATTTATATCCCTATTAATAAATGTACATCTGCTCTTGAATAAGGGTGGTTTGCCTCAACGGTTTTTGCCAATTAAATCAGATTATTTGATTTCTTTAAAAAAAATTCCTATAAGAAACTCTCTTCTCCTTAATTTGGCAGTTTTATGCAGAGTAGATTCTACACTGTCCCAATAATAATTCTCAGAGATTTTGAAGAATAAACTTTTGCTGCTTGTTCTGAAGATGCCACAATCTGTCATCTAAAAGAGTAGTCAACAATTATGAGGCATATTTTCAAGTCATATGTCTGACATTTTTTGCCTTTCACAAATATTCAGTTGGTAATCAGTGTCTTATTAAAGGAATTTTTCTTATATAAATGATTAAAATTCTAAAGATAAAGTAAACATTAAAAAGCACAATACTTAAACGTATCTAGAAACATAAACCTACAAATACAAAACTAAATATGTCCATTTCAGCTCTTCACTTTCCTTATAGATTCATTAACTATTTCTTATTTATTTATACCATTTTAATCACTATTTAAAATGTCCATTCTCTCTCATTTAATCTATGAAGCCCTTTACCATCAACCTATTTTTCTCTACTTTTATAATATAATCCATAAACCAGGTCCATCCTTAAAGCCTCTATAGATTTCTCTCTAATTAGACCGGTCAGTTTTGTCATATCCACCAAGATTGGATTTTCATTTAAATATCCAGGCTTTAACAATTGAAGTTTCTTTATTTTTCCTTTTCTCTGCATATATTAATCTTGTCCCAGTGATCACATACAACAATAAGACACCATGCTTTTTAGTTAGTTCCTTCTTCCATAAACCCTAATAAGTACAGTTCTGACTTCATCTGAAAAGGGATTTCTTTTATTTTCACCAATATCCTGTGGTTCAACAACCAAAACTTTTGGCCAATTCACAAGCCCACCACATAGATTCTATTCTACTTTCCACATTTCCAACGTTTACTTTAAATGTTCTTATGCATAGTTTCAAAGATATCAAATGCATCACTTCATAAAAAAAATTCTCTTAAATTATTGTATTGAGTTAAATTGCGTTCTTCCTTCTTAAATGATAAGAAGGAAAGCCTCTTAGCACTTAGCAGTAACACTTAGACTTATACACTGCTCCACAGTGCTTTATAGCACTCTATGAACGGCTTACAAAATCAGCATATCACCTCCAACAATCTATATCCTCATTTTACTGATCTCGGAAGGATGGAAAACTGAGGCAACCTGAAGCCCATCAGGACTGAATTCCAGGCTGTGGGCAGAGTTAGCTTGCAATACTGCAGTCTAAACACTGCCATTACGGTTCTTCTAAGTTGGTACCTAACCTAACAGGAAATAAGCATGCGTCTTATTTCAGAAATGCTTTTATGCTGATTGAATTTGACTATCAAATCAAGATAAAGTTACTCATGTGACCAATGAATGTTTTTAATTAGGTGGTTATTCTAATATAGGCTCTATGTTTTTGCATTATCACCCTATTGATAGGAACATTACAGTTGACAGGCTGAGGAAAATGTGATGTCTGGGTTTAGCATTATATGGCTTTTTGTGTTGGTCTTATGTTAATTCTAATGTCCTTTTGTTTTTTCCTCAAGCTGTTTCTGTGAGATTGCTGGCTGCTCTAATAAGAGCAATGGTATACCTAAAGGGAAGATTTTACTTCTTCACCTGTGCAATGAGGAGCTACATTTGTCACCTTCATTCATTTTCTAGACTTTGTAGCAATTAGTTCCCTGTGTACCATATATACTCGTGGATAAACTCAATAATTTTAGATTACAAAATATACCCCTCAAATTGGGTTTGGCTTATCCTTTGGTGGGCTTATCTATGTGTATATATGGTAATAGTTTTTAAAAGTACCCATATATACCCATGGATAAGCCAACTCTCAAAATTTTAACCAAAATACTATGAAAAACACACCACCCTCAGATAAGCCAATTTAAAACAGAATCTGTTCTGGAAAACAACATTTATTGATACAAAATCCTTTACAATATATTGAAAAAATGTACAAAAATGTCAAGGATGCCATCTACAGGTGGCATATTTTTCATGATATTTTGTTAAAATGTGGGGGTTGGCTTATCTGCAAATGGGCTTATCTGTAAGTTTATACAGTAATGAGCATAGCTTAATTTCTAAGCATAGGTAAAGACAGCTCAATACTTCAGTTTTGGAATCTAAAAATTTCATAGATTTAAGTAACTTCAAGTACTTTTAGCATATTGAACAGGCATTCATTGAACTGTTGTGCAAAACTTTCTCTGATACTGCTTCTCTTTGGGAAATGAAATGAAGTCCCATTTTAGTAGAAGAAGAAAAAAATTGATTGCCTGTATTAGCCCTGAGAGAAATCAGAAATTTCTCTTTATCTTGATGTTTGGGAAGGTGATATAACGCAGCATACTTGTCAAAATAAAGGAATCCCTTTTCTGTATTTTGTCAAACAGTACACTGCTGATTTATTGTAATTTGGGGCATATAGAATCCGGTTGGGTTAATAATTATATGTATGGACATATTTGGTGGACGTGTAAGCATATAAAAGCTTTTTGGATTAAGATATGGTGGAATATTCAAAGAATTTTTAAAAGGAGGGTAAAATTTACTCCGCAATTATTTTTACTAGGTATTGTTATTGACTGTGATGCTAAGGAGGTTATATTGATGTTAAATTTGATTACAGCCGCTAGGTTGTTAATAGGACAATATTGGAAGAAGGAATCTTTGCCTACTTTACAAGAATGGTTTCATAAAGTTTCGTATTTGGCAGAAATGGCAAAGATTTTTTCTTAAAGGAGCAATCTCAAGAAAAATTTTTTGCGGTATGGGAAAAATGGATAAATTTTATACAAC